TTGGTATTGTGAAGCAAGGATAAGGTAAGTAAATATTTGTTGGTATTGTGAAGCAAGGATAAGGTAAGTAAATATTTGCTGGTATTGTGAAGCAAGGACAAGGTAAGCAAATATTTGTTGGTACTGTGAAGCAAGGATAAGGTAAGTAAATATTTGTTGGTACTGTGAAGCAAGGATAAGGTAAGTAAATATTTGTTGGTATTGTGAAGCAAGGATAAGGTAAGTAAATATTTGTTGGTATTGTGGAACAAGGATAAGGTAAGTAAATATTTGTTGGTATTGTGAAGCAAGGATAAGGTAAGTAAATATTTGTTGGTATTGTGAAGCAAGGATAAGGTAAGTAAATATATATTACTTTCCATTAGACATATAGACCGTACATAAATAATTTAAGAAAAAGAAATCTAACTTCAATTCAGATTATCTACAGTCCGTATAACACATGGACAACTTGAAATAGGGAAGTAAAGCGAAAAAGAGTATAAATCTAATTTCCTACACATTCGTCTACAAAACTAAGGTGTGATTTTACACATATGAAACACACACAACGATATAATACCTGGTATTAGGGCAAGGTGCATTGAGCTTTATAATGACAGATCTGTGTGTGTGTGTGTGTTAGGTGTTTGTATGACAAAACTAAGATGTGATTTTACACAAATGAGCTTTGTAATGACAGATCTGTGTGTATATCAATCCGATATATATATCTCACTAAACATGTGTGTGTGTGTTACATGTTTGTATAGCAAAAATATGATGTGATTTTACCCAAATGAAAACACACAACGATTTAATACCTGGTATTAGTGTAAGGTGCACTGAGCTTTATAATGACAGATCTGTGTGTTTATCAATCCGATACATATATCTTACTATGTGTGTATGTTAGGTGTTTGTACGTGTATCTATTATGTACTTAACTTACCGAATTATAAGATAATAACAGGATTTCAGTTTTAAAAGAAAATATAAACGTGTAGTCTAACACTGGTGACCAACGTAATACAGACCTTTAATGGTCAAAATTGATATATACATTTACGTGTAGAGCACATGTGTGATGCCGGTTGCCTAACAACGCAGCAGTGAGTAGATGTTGACTAAGCGAAGTACACATGGGCATTTTAAGCAGAATTGTGAGTTTACCGTGTTGAGATGAATCAGTACAATTTGATATAAGCGAATGTAGTGGGTGCAGATTGTGGAAATATTTTCTCAGTATAATATATATATTAAACACTTTAATACAAATACAATATAAATATAACTTATCTTGCTGATTTTCCAAGCGTCACTGTCTACTTAACAAAATTAGTGAAAAATAAAATTGTTTTATTTGTTACACAACTCAAATTTCGTAGGATGCTTATTCGCGTCTTTCAGTTATCATAGTTAATTAATACTGCCATACCTGGGATTATCTATCACCATTTCGCCGTCCACACTCAGATACTTGAGCACATTTATTCCAATTTTAAACTTTATAGCAAAGCTGTACAAAGTTTACAAACCCACAATATATTCATTTATAATCCATCCATGTATCAATGTTACAATAAATGTAACTATACATAAGTCTTACTCTCCAACTAATTATTAGCAATTATACTGCATATCAGTTATTCACGTTCGATGACGAAGAACCCACTTTGAGACTAATAACGCTTGGAGACGGCTTGAATGGGGAATGGTAATGGGTTTCTTCATTACCCATTCAAGCCGTCTCCAAGCATTATTGGTTATCCACGTTATAGTTCGGTTATGTATCAGCAGTGCAATCTACCTACGTATTCAGTATACAGCTGCGTATAAAATAATACATCTACTTACGTCACTGAACGTGCAGTGTCACGTAGCAAATTTACACACACTCAGACTTACTGTTTGTTTTGCCATACTGTATATTTGTGGTACAGTATAGTAGAAATAGGTTGGGACAAGCAGAGCGATTTCCCCCAAAACGATGGAGTTTTATGTAAACAAAATACTGATAATAAATACAAATTGTAGAATAATGTCCAACAATAACCAATATAATAACCCAATAGTTTTTTTTTGTTTTTTTACATTTAATATTAATTGAGTAAAGTTTAATTCACTTTCTAATGTTGGAGTCGATTTCTGGCTATAACGAAATAACAAATACTTTTGTGAAGGAAGGAAGAATAACTTATTTTTTTACAAAAATAATAGTATGTGATTTGTCACTGCTGCAACAATGTAATATACGTAGCTACAACAATGGATAAGCATTTATAATCATTTTTTCCAACAATATTGTACATTTGTAAAGGAACGTCAATTGTGAAGAAAATAGTTGCAAGCTTGATCAATAAATATTGGACGTGAAGATAAAAACCTGACTATTATGATTTTTCTTCCATTAATTTGCCCAAGTTGTGAATTCAAAAAGGAACGTTTGCCAACTTTGTGTTAGCATTTTGGAATGGCACACATTATGCTACGAACTGAAAACTAATACGTTTACCTCTGATGCCTATCGTCATTGCTCTTTGCATGTATCTGTCGGAATCGGCATAGCTAAGGCTTGCATCAAAGTGAGACCAGATATGATCTCAAAAGATGATTTTTACCCAGAGAGTAAATCTGGGCAATATTACTGATGATAATTTTTCATTAGTGCTATCAATTAATTAATTATGATACATATGAGAAAATATTGCGTCAGGGCCTTTTGTTTTTTTTATTTTTGTTTGTAATTAAGCAC